CATACCTCAGATGGATGTAAGGAATCATTCAGATGATGCTAAACATTAAATGTTTAGCAGAGTGCTGGTATGTGGTGAGCCCTCAATAAATGGCCGTTTATCGTTATCCTTACTATTTTTTTTTTTAAGATTTTTATTGGGGAATTGGGGGGATGGGAACAGTGCTGGGGAACTGGGGGAAGGGGAACAGACAAGTTGCTGTCGTTTTNCAAGGTTGGTCCAGTTTCCAAAGGCTTCCTCCTGCTGCAGGAGTCATGCAAGATGAACTTAAGAGCTATATGAAGAGTTGGAATAACTTACATAAAACCCTTTTCCTATTCCCCTGTGATCATGCTGAGAAAAAGAAACAAGAACTAAAATTAAAGACCAAAACATAGGTGTTATAATACAGATCAAAGGAAACCAAACATCAATCTTAGTAATGGCATTTTAAAAAGTGAGCTAAATTATGCCTTTTAAACAAATCCTGGAAAGTGATAAAGATTCTCTTCTTGACCAAACTTTAGACAGGCACCGAGGTGAGCCCTCCTTTTGACCAGGCCTTAACTTTGGCCTATAAAAAAAAATGGCAGACTCTCAGCACAAATGGTTTCACCCAACACCCCACAAGACCCCACTGAAAGACTTGAACAAACACTAACATAGTTTTTAACAACCCAAAGTTGCACCCCTAGTGTGGCCCCAGCTGCCCTTAAGGTGTCTGCCTGAGAAAAGTGCCAGGAGAATCAGTTTGTTCCAGCCAAAACCCAGTACTAGACAGACAGGCCCCTGAATCACCTCCACACCCCACCCCCAACCCCACCCTCCACCCGTGAGCAGCTACTTTAGGAAACTTGGTAGTTGTAAACCCTTTCTCCCCTGCTTTGAGACGTAAATCTTCCACCACTCACGACTGCCTTCTCAGGAACCTGGGAGCCTCTATTTGAAAAGCAAACATTCAGCCGGCCAGCCGAGTGCCTCAGTTGGTAAGAGCTCGCTCAAGAGTTTGAGCTCTGAGCAACTGTGCTTCGATGCCCGGCCTGAGCTGAGCTGCTGCTGAGCTGCCAACAGGTGGCAGGATGGCTCAACTATTAAAAAAAGAAAAAAGAAAAGAAAAGCAAACATTCAGGGAAACACCTCCTGCTTTCCCTCCTGTGCTGTGGGCAGCGAGCTCTAACAGGTACCTCTACCTCCTGCTATAGACACTAGAAGCTTGCTTCCCCTCCAGATAAGCACCAATTAACCAACCCCGTCTCTGTCGGAGCCCTCACTTCTTCCTTCATCCTCCCTTCAAAACACCCATCACCTCTGCACTAATCAGAGTTGAGTGCAGCAGTTCATAGTGGACCCTCTTCCCATTGCAATGATTATCGCTGAATAAACGCCACCCAGAACACTTTAGTGTCCAGCTTGTCTTTGACAAAGGTCAGATCCACATTTTATACCTGCCCCAGGGAGGGTTAGACAGACAGAGTACAGTGCTAACAAGGCCAAGGTTATGAAGTTGATCTCCATATGGCTCTGCCCATACGTCACATGTGTATAGCTCTGTCAGGTGTTTCACAAGTGCCTTTCATTGATCACAAGGGACACCAGATGAGAAAGTAGAGATGGCTCAGCACAAACCATTTGCTGCCGCTTTTATTCGTTTCTCATTACTGCTTTAAGAGCTCAAAAATACAGATGGTGTGGCTTATGGCCTTCACTTTGTACACCTCAGCTAGAAGAGATCCTTCATGCTCTCATGCCCTCCCCTCCCCCAAACACCTTTCCCCTCTGTCTCAGACATTGCCAAGTCTCCTGCCCTTTCAGCATCTAGTTCATGGTCATTCTCTCCCCGCTGTTCTTTCTCAAAGACTCCACCTCCAACTTCTCTCTCTCTAGTGCCTACAAGCATTTATCTTCTGTGCAATGTGTTTCATTGTGTTACCACCAGTGGCTCATGGTTTATGTATTTATGCTTTACTACTCCTAAAAGAAACAAGGACCAAATATCCCACCTCTTTTGTTTCATCAGGTTAAATGCATTGAAACTATTCAGTAAAATGCATTTAAATATTTTCATTGAGCTTTCAAATGGCTTTGACAAATTCCAGCAAAATGTTGAATTCCTTTATCATTTCTAGGATGGGCAGTAGACTGCGTTACTATTGGGTTGTCGGGAAAGTTATGACATATTTTTCTATGTTTTTCAATGTAAAAACGTGTCATGACTTTCCCGACGACCCAATATAACTCTCGAAGAGCTTACAAATTTATACAGAGTCAAACCAGTTTGTAAAGAGTGAATAGACCGTTGCTGGTGGGTTTTTTTTCCCCAATTTTATGTGTGATCATACAGTAATGTATTTTTCCATAAAGGAAAATCATTGAGCATATAGCATTATAATAGCTAGTTCTTTATACTCACATTGCTGTTAGCCTACATTTTCATAGGTTCATGTATATCTCTTCATTATGACATACACTTTATACCCATTTAAAATAGTTTGTATTTTCAGAAATACAATATAATCCTTTCCATGGGCATAACACATTTTACTTAGGTGGCTCATATGCTAAGATCCAGGAGAGACCCTCCAGAATGGTGATTTTCCAATTGTTCCATGCTATTTTCAGGTGTATCAGCTTCCTATTGCTGTTGTGACAAATTACCACAAATTTAGTAGCTTAAAACAACACACATTTATTATTTTACAATCCTGGAGGTCAGAGGTATCACAAGGGTCCCAGTGGGCTAACAGCAGGAGTGAGCAGAGCTGAATTCTTTTCTGGAGGCTCCAGGAGACGCTGTTCCCTTGTCTTTTCCAGCATCTGCAGGACGCCTGCGCTCCTTGGCTGAAGGCCCCCTCCAACTTCGAAGCCAGCAATGGCTGGTTGAGTCTCTCACATTATGTGACTCTGCCACGCCAGTCTCCCTCTTTCCCATATAAGCACCCCTGTGATTACATTGGGCCCACCAGATAATTCAGGATAATCTGTCTCAAGGTCAGCTGATTGGCAACCTTAGTTCCATCTTCAACCCTAATTCCGCCTGTGCCATGTAACATGACACAGTTTTCAGAAATTCAGAGGTGAATCTCTGGGGGGGAAGTGTTAGTTATTCTGTCTACCACACCAGTTATTGTACACAATTGAGTTAACATTTTTTTCTTTTCTAGCTTTGAGATACTATTAACATACAACATACGTAAGTTTAAGGTGTACAACTGATGATTTGATACACGTATATATTGCAAAATGATTACCACAATAAGGTTAACACCTCCACTACCTCACATAATTACTTCTTTTTTGTCTGTGGTGATAGAATTTAAGATCTTCTCTCTTATGAACTTGCAAGTATATAATACAGTACTGTTAATTATAGTCACCCTGCTGTACCTAGAGCCCCAGAACTTACTCATCTTATAACTGGAAGTTTATGCCCTTTGACCAA